GAGTAAAGTCACCTCCTCAGGAGGGCTGGCTAAACCTCAGTCATGAACCGATGCAAGGCAGTTATTGTTGCAGGCCAGTCCTTTTAGAGAAGTTTGTCACCCAGCAACAGGTGGCAGGAAAGGCAGCCTCTGGGGCTCCAGCAAGCCAATAGGAGCCTTCTTCCAAGTCCTGGCTTTCCTTTCACAGGGAGGCTGTCCTTGAGAAGGAGCGAGGACATTCATCATGGCAGCAGGCTTATACTTGCCCAGCTTAGCGATACCCATGAAGGCAAATTTCTTTCCCAGCATGGCCAGTCAGACTCATGGCTGACTCTAATTGGTTGTGACTAAGTTGTGTGACCCTTTGGAGCCTGCTGCACCTAAACTCTCTCTCTCCTTAGGCACTGGCATTGCCTCCAGAAGAAGGGATGGTCTATTTTCTCTTTGGGTCCTCTCCCCAGAGAAAAGCCAGAGGGTAATGAATGCCACTTGCTTGCTTGCTTTTCTGGGGAGCTTGCTATTGTGCTATCTAATTTGTATATTTTTTAAAACATTTTATTTTGTATGAGAGCCCAGCAGAACAGCTACTGGGCAACTGGCTTATGCAATAAATCTAAAGGGTCTTAGTAAACATGTACATAACTTCTTCTGTCAATTGAGATGTGTGTGGGCCAGAAAGTTTTGATTTTTCTTTCTCATTAAGAGTCAGCATTCCATCGTGGACCTCTGAGGAACACGAAGCTGGAATAGAAATCAAAATGAGATGCCTGCTGGAGCACAGCACACTGGCCTTTCTAAATACACCACACACACACACACACACACACAGCCTAGTCCTATGTAGCTGGCGGAGGGGGTAGGGACAAGTCCAGTATCAGATGGCAGGAGATGAGGAAAAACCCACAAATGACCCCTTAGATTTTTTTTTAGAAGGATCTTTGAAAGGTTAGGTTGGCTTAACGACCTAGAATGCTCAACAGTAACAGACGACCAAGCTTTGTTATCTGCAAGTGTAACTGGGACTTATTTGAGAAGGTTCTAGTGACTTCAATTCCAAGCCTAGGGATAAGACTGTTAGTTTTTTTTTTTCTTGAGAGGGTCTTTCTGCATAGCTCTGACTGTCCTGGAACCCACTATGTAGTTGAGACTGGCCACAAACTCAGAAACTCAGAGATCTAACAGCCTCTGCCTCCCCAGTCCAGGGATTAAAAGAGGGCATCACAATGCCCAGTGGTTGCCTTTAAATTTTTCATCTTGAAATCTTGTGTGTGTGTGTGTGTGTGTGTGTGCATGTGCATGTGTGTATGTGTGTGTGTGTGCGTGTATATGTGTGTGTGTATGTTTGTGTGTGTGTGTGTGTGTGTGTGTGTGTGTGTGTGTGTGTGAATGCCGGCAGTCACTCGTTGAAGAGAGGAGAGTGTTACACCACCATCTTCGTTTCCCCATCAGGAACTACCCTGAGAGTTAGGTCTACATCGTTTTTGTGTTTCTCAATAATTTTCACAGAATAAGTTTGTTTTCTTAAATAAATAAGTTGTTTCCCTCCCTATACTTTAATTTTTAGGTTTTTAATCTCTGTACATTGAACGCAGAATGCTTGCGGTTTTCTGTGCCCTGCTCTTTTATTTCCCAAGGATTGTTTGTGAAATTCACACAAATTGGTTTCTTAAAAAAAAAAAAAAAAAAAAAGCAGGGGCTCAGTCTGTGGTGCATGTTCTCACTTTAGTATTTCCTTTCATAGACAGACACATGCATGTTTTTAATGCTGTTACATATTTACGGTTTATGCTTTCAAAGCCTGCTTTTTATGACTTGAGATAAAAATGATCTCCAATTTTATTTTAAGAGATTAAAGTTTCTTTTTCTTTGTCTTTAAAAGATAATTTTACATTTATTTATTTATGTGTGAGCACATGTGTATGTGTCTTAGGGTTTTTATTGCTGTGAAGAGACACCATGACCAGGGCAACTCTTATAAAGGAAAACATTTAATTGGGCCTGGCTTACAGCTTAGAGGTTTAGTTCATTATCTTGATGGGGGCAGACAGGCTGACACAGTGCTGGAGAAGGAGCTGAGAGTTCTACATCTTGATCCTCAGACAGCAGAAGGGACTGTGTGCCACACTGGGCATAGCTTGAGCATATGAGACCTCAAAGCCCGCCTCCAGGGTGACACACTTCCTCCAGCATTGCCACACCTACTCCAACAAGGCTACAGCTCCAAATAGTGCCACTCCCAATGGGCCAAGCATTCAAACAGATTCTATGGGGGCCACGCCCACTCAAACCACCACAGTGTGTATGGGCACACAGTTGCCAAGGGGCACAAATGAAGGCCAGAGGACAGCTTTTGAAAATTGAGTTTCTCCATCCACCATGTGCGTTCAGACTTGCTGATAAGCTTTTACCCTCCAAGCCTCATATTTTTGCTTTGATTTGATGTTTGTTGTTGCTGGATTTTTTGTTTTGTTTTGTCTGAAACTCTTACCTAGCACTGATTTTTGTGCATGTTGTCAGGGGGTCTGTCATTTCTTCTTTTGTGAGAAAGGCAAATCATGCCATATATGTCCTCACATTTTTCTTTTGTCTTCATCCAGATGAAACTCTGGATTCTAAAAATGGCCTGAAAGCCACCATAGGATCTCATCCTCCGAGACAGCCCCTCCCACTTCGCCCCCTATGTGCTTCTGAGGGGGCATGGTTCTCCTTGCTCTTCCTTGAACTCTCCTCAGAGGTACCTGCTGCAAAACTCTTGACTCCTTCGTCTACGTGAATTTCCACATTCCTACATGTCTTAGTCAGTGTTCCGTTGCTGTAAAGAGACACACAGATCATGCGTAAAACTCATAAAAGATTTAATTGGTGCTTGCTTACAGTTTTCCAGCCTTAGTCCATTGGCACTATGGGAAGCATGGTGGCTCACAGACAGACGTGGTGTGGAAGAAGTACCTGAGGGGTCTATGCCCTGATCCATAGGCCGCAGGAAGAGAGCCACATTGCACCTGATATGGGCTTTTGAAACCTCAAAGCCCACCCCCAGTGACACGCCTCCTCTAACAAGACCACACCCTAATTCTTTCCAAAGCTGCCTCTCCCTGATGACCAAGCAGTCAAATCTAGGAGCCTATGGGAGCCATCTTCATTCAATCCCCTGTGCTGCTTTACCCTGCCTAAGTCTCTGCTCAAATATTACCCTATCACAATCTTCTCTGGACAGCATAACTAAAGTCACACACACACACACACACACACATACACACACATACACACACACACATACACACACACATACACACACATACACAACACACACACACAATCACACACATACACACACATACACAATCACACACATACACACACAATCACACACACATACACACACAATCACACACACATACACACACAATCACACACACATACACACACAAAATCACACACATACACACACACAATCACACACATACACAATCACACACATACACACACACATACACACACACACATACACACACATACACACACAATCACACAATCACAATCTCTATTTTCTGCTTGGAAGAATTTACCTGAAAATCTTTCTGGGCCTGGTGTAGGGGTGTGTGTGTGTGTGTGTGTGTGTGTGTGTGTAAGTGTTTTTAATTAAATGTCTTTAGATTAGTTTTCTCATTCTTAAATTTTAATAATTTTCTCTACTTTTTGCATAGTTAATATGTAACCATCTCTACCTTCTGGCTACCCAGTCCTCCTATTCTGACCTCAGTTGCTTGTTCAATTATTTCTGCAGTCTTTGTTTATCAGAAATAAGCCATACATACGCAAATTCATGTATGTGTGTGTGTATATATATATATATGCACAGATACGCTCTGCATTTGTTATAAATAAATGGTAAACACCACAGATTGTTCTGCGCCTCGCCTTTTCCCCCACTTAACTATATATGCTAGACAACCCCATAGTTAGAGGGTCGTCGCATATTAGACTTGCCTCTTACTCTGCTGGGTGGACATGCCTTGGTTTCTTGATCTTTGTGAATGTCGTGAATGTTACATAGGTCATCCTCGGTCTCTGACAGGGCCTCCTAGCCAGTCCCTCACCGATCTTTCATCAGTGCTTCACAGGATGGCCAGACCTCTTAGACTTCCATTCTGATTTTGTCGACTCCTGGTTCAGGAACCCCGGCAGCTTGCCAACGCTCACAGAACAATGCTGAACTCTTACATGCTGTAAGTACAGTCTCACACAGTCTCTCTCCTTTTACCTCGGACCTCTGAGCTTGCAGACGCCCGCCCCCTAAGCCTGTGCCTGGAGGTTTTTTCCAAATGTTCAGTCCTGTTTTCTCTCAGCCAGCTAGGGGGATAAGCTCCTCCTCCTCTCCTCCTAGGTAGATCACAGTGCACTCAGGGCCTGTGGCAATCAGAGTTTTAAACCGGCCACCCTGGTCTCAGGGGCACGTCCAGCATAACCAGACCCTGTGCGTTGAATTTTGAGTTAGGCAACTGGGAGTGAATCCTTTACCAAGCAGTACTTTTTCTATTGGACTCCAAATTCCACTGGGACCAGAGATCGCTGAAGTGAAAAGATGAGTCCGGACTTCAATGTAGCTTACAACACAGTGAGTCACACAAGCACAATTAAGATACACAACACGGTGAAAGTGTGGTTCCGTGGAATCCTAGGTGGTAAAACGCCCCTCACTCCTGCAATCTTTAGCCCACCATCCAGGTCCAGGATAGCTGCCCGGCTGCCTGTTGAATGGAGAGTGTACTAAAACGCAGCCGCCAAGCTCCTGTCCCCAAAGCCATCTTTTAATCACACTCAAATGGGTCCCTAACCTGTGCCGACTATGCTCCTCTGAGCAGGGGGCGGCGTGGGAGGGCGTGGGCCCGGGTTGCAGGCAGGGAGGGCAGCTGAGCCCGGCACCTGGAGCGGGTCTGGGCGCCGCGCGGGGCGCAGGGGCGGGGAGCGGGGAAGGGGCGGAGACTGTCGCCTGCCTCCCCACCGGCGGCAGCGGCGGCGCAGGGCCGCGGGGTGTCGGCAGCAGCTGCAGCCGCCCCTGCCACCCCCTCGACCGCGGCTCCCGGGCGAGCGAGGGTGAGCTGAGCTCGGCGGGCAGCTGCCACCCCGCGCCTCCGTACAGAGCAGAGTGGAGCGGCGGCCCCGGAGAAGGCAAAGTTGCCAGTCTAAGCGCAGACATGCCGGGCAGCGACACGGCGCTCACGGTGGACCGGACCTACTCGGATCCCGGCCGGCACCACCGCTGCAAGAGCCGGGTGAGGGCGCGCTCAGGGCGGCGCGGGGGTGTGAGTCGGTGGGGAGGGCGGGGGTCGAACCGGAGACACCGCGCGGTAGAACCCATCGTCGGCCTCTCGTAGCCGGTAAGGTTGGAAGAAACCTGCGGCCCGGGGACCCGAGGCTACCGCTGGCTTGGGAGGCTAGCCAGCCTACACTGCCGCCCCGGCTCCGCGACGGTGTCTCCCCGCCAGGGAGCGCACGCTGCTGGTACCCGGGACACCCAGGGTCTGGCTTGGGGCACCGCCACCTGCGGGGCTCAGCGTGGCTGCTGCATCCCTAGCCCAGCAGCCCAGTCCCCTGTACCGTGTGCCCCAGATGCGCTGCCAAAAAACAGAAGAAAAATTCCAAAGTCCGTTTCGGCTTGTACGCTCCGGAGTTGGGAGCCGTGCAGAGCGGGTGCCTTAGCCACGGTTTTCAGTGTAATTTGTTGTTGCTGATTTTGGCTGTGAGCGAAAATAGCTCTTCTGAGCAAGCTATGGAGACCGGCCCTGGAGGGCTTCAGTATCAAGACTGAGGCCGCAGCCGCAGCCGCAGCCGCAGCTGCAGCCCCAGCCCTGGGCCCTCCCAGGGAATACCTTCCGTCCTGGACAGCCAAGTGTCCTAGCGGGATGGGGCGCCCAAATTCCTTCTCTCCTTGACTGATTAAAGTGCCATTTGAAACAGCACCTCCTCCACTATGGCAGGCCATACCTGGAATTGTTCTCTGAGCCTCCAAACTTCTGGCTTGTCCGTGGAATTGGGCATTTCGGTGTCAGCTACCCGGTATAAAGTTCGTCCAGGTAGACTAGGCACCTCCACCCACCACCTCCAAGATCTATTGATCAGCCAGAAGTTGTTGCCATAAGTGACAGTCGTGTGCCGGGTCCCTCATACAGAATGTGCAGTCATAGTTTGAAACAGTAATCGATTGTCCCAGAAGTGGTATGTTCGCCTCATTTCTCTCCTCACTTTAACTCCTAAGAATCAATTTTAGAAAATGATTTTTTTTTGAAACACAAATTTAATGTGTTTGGTGGAATCGCTCCTACATCGACCGATTCTTTTCCTGTTTCTTTAAAAGTTTCATAACAAATACACTAGGCAAGTATTGGGGGGAAAAATTAGAGTTTTGGTTACCTGCAGCCAGAAGTTTGTTTGGGAGGCTCATGAACACAACTCACCGAAGGAAAGATCTTTTCCTAAGGCTTTTATAATGGGGTGAGGGTGAAGTTAATATTGCAGTTGACAGGAGAAATTGCAGTCTTAAAATAATTTGAGAGCCTGAATTGTCACAACTCGGTGATCACCGTATGCAGCCAAGTTAGGAATGTTCGAGGGAGGGAGGGGTAAGCATGGGATGAGCTTTGTTCTAAGATTCAAGCTTTGTTGCCAATCAGATGGGTGGGAAAACCAGTGCTTACAGACTTGGGTAGGAAGTGGAAAGATGCGTTGAACTGCAGGCATGAGTGTCTTTTCCACAACAGTCAGGTCTCAGAAAGTGTCCAAGACCTCGTGTGGAGGGGATTGGCGTATTTTCTTTTAAAGGGTGCTTAGGGTTGTACTTGCTACATCATCAGCAGGAAGAGTCTCGATCTGTGAACCGTGCGGTGAAACTGCCTTAGATACCGAAGGTACTGATTATTCTACGTCACTAGTCCATTGAGCACAGGAAATCTAGTGAGGACTAGGGGGAAAAATAGAGGGACGACGGCTAGAGTTGAGTAGGCCCAGGTCACAGTTCAACGTTCCTAGAGATCCCAGTTTGGCCCGCTAGGCCATCTGCTTTTAACTGTTGTTTGTTGTTGCTGTCCTTTAGGGCTTGTTTTTGAAACAAGGTCTCACTGTGTAGCCCAGGCTGGCCTGTAATCCACCATCCTCCAGTCTTAGCCTCCCGAGTGCTGGAATTACAGGCGTGCACTGCCCTGCCTGGCGTTGCTCTTATGTTTTTTTGTGTGTTTTCCTGTGGAGATATCAAGGTATCACGAGAACTAATATACAGACTTTTCTCTAGTGGGGCCGGTGTCATTTTGCATCCCTCCTTAAGGCTGTAATAAGTCCGCTGTAATGAAGGCACAGCGAAAGCTATTTTGCTGTTGCAGAAAACGCCATCCCATTAGGTGATCCAGCAGCTCCTTGGTGGAACTTAATTTGATGGAGCTATAAAAAAGCATTTTCCCCTTACACCCAGAAAAGTATGCTACTGTACAGAAAGAAAGCGCCGAATAGCATCAGGGCTTAATTTCTTGACGTGTCTCTCCCATTGGAAATAAACCAGGATTTAAAACTCATCCCTGTAGTCAGTCTCCTCTGGCAAACTATTTCTTTTAAAGATGCTGATGATTGCCTGCGTGGATGTGTGGAGGTGACTAACCCCTCAGGAGCCTCTAGTTTCCTCCCAAGAACACCTTGCTGATTAACAAATGGTCATTTAAAAGCTTCAAAATCTTCTATCCATTGAAGGTAGTAAAAGAACACGCCCATACTTATTGCTGGGCTTTCTTAAGCCGTTGAGACTAAATGGCAACGAGACAGAGGACCACTGTAATACTGCAGAGGTCTATTTTTACAGCCAGGTAGACTGATTTAGATCCCACTCCCCTTCCAAAGTGTAACTAGTGATGTTTCTGGTCGTTGCTAAGCTAAGAAGCCAGAGTCATTCATATTTTTAAACTTCTTCGTAAAACTCAAAAAAAAAAATGATGCTTGTTAACTTGACAGACATCACCCCTTTCTGCTTTGAAAGAAAGAGAACGCATAATTAGAGCCTGCATTTTTTCCCCTTGTGCCCTAGATAATCAGAACCTATATCGAGAATATAGGCTTTCTGTCTTCCACACCTTAACTGGTTTTTGTTAGTTATGCGCGAGTCCGGTTGTTTTGTTTTGTTGAGTACCAGCTGCCGTTCTGGGCATTCAGAAGAATGATAGGAAGTTTACAGTCTGGGCTTGCCAGGCGCTTGCTGCCTGGTGAGTATGTCTTATACTGTGGCCCATGGCAGTCTAGCCTTCTCTTTCACAGAAAGAATTGAACCTAGTAAGTACAAAAGTATCTGACATCCAACATAAAACCTGTGTGGAGCCTGAAGGCCACCTGTCACACATTTTGAAGGCTCTGCCATCGGGAACAGTCCCAGTGGGTGTTGAGTAACAACAGGGGTTGTCAGGGAGAGGGGGCTGTTGTGGCCCTCCCACAGTGGAACTGGCTGAGCAGTGAGTCGGTCGCTCCGCCTGTTCCCGGGCAGGAAGTAGGACAGATAGAAACAGATCCTTGTAGGTGCTGCTGACCTAGGGAGGTGGCAAACTGAGGAGTGTGTAAGGGCTGTTTTAATTAGCGATGGGTTTCACACATACTAAGGTTCCGCAAGGAGCCTGAACCACGCTGAGTGCCTCAAGTCAGAATTTGTTTACGTTAGGAGGAGGAGGTTGATGGCGCCTATGCTTTTTGGAACTCTGCTTTGCCGCAGGCTCACTGACTCTCCCCTCAGAGAAGGATGACTTGCCCGCCACCACCAGCAGCTCACACATGCCTGTCACATCCGCTGCAGAGTGCCGCCACAGCTGCTCCCAAGTTAGATCTCAGAATCTGTTTTCCTTTAGACACTTCCTGAATTCCCAGAGCCCAAACCCGGAGCCCTCGATGAAAATTACCCACGTCTCCAGGAGGATCTGCAGTGTTTTTAGCCTCGCTGTTGTTAATTGTGTTTTTGTGTTTTCAGCGGAGGGGGTAGTGAGAGCAAAGGAAGAGAGAACTGTGAATCACTGTACTGTGAATCAGAATTGGGACTTCTCATCCCTTCTAAAAGGAACATCGGGATACATGATGTGCGCATCATCCAGCCACTGCATGGATGTGGAAGGGGTTCGGACTTATCATCCCTTCTAAAAGGAACATCAGGGTACATGAGATGCGCATCCTCGAGCCTCTGCATGGATGTGGAAGGGGTTCGAGTCGAAGGGGAAACAGTGTACTTGTCGAGTGGTTTTCTTCAGGGAGGCAAAAGAACATGCACGAAAGGGTGTAGTAGCAACAATGGCTAGGGCACACCAATGGCTTAATAGACACCGGAACTACTAAGTGCTTCAGTTTCAAATTCTCCCTAATCCTGACAGGGTTTCTCTGTATATCTTTGACTGTCCTGGAACTCGCTTTGTAGACCAGGCTGGCCTCAAACTCGCAGAGATTGGCCTGCCTCTGCCTCCCAAGTGCTGGGATTAGAGGTGTGTGCCACCATACCTAGCCTGGAACTTGGTCTTAAGCCCTTCGCTGGTGGCTCCAGGGCTGAGTGCAGGAGAGTGGCTTGGTCCTGATAACCCAAGAAATGTGTTAAGCAGCTCAGTCTCGATGGACCATTTGGCTGCTTCGGGACAGATGCGTGTGACACCTTCAGGGCACCTCCTTACTTGTGTATTCCAGATTTTTATGACATACCTTTTCTGGTCTTTTGTGCAAAGTCCTTTAGTCCAAGTAAACTTGTTTTGTTTTGTTTGGGGCCGTCCTGGAACTCACTCTGTAGACCAGGCTGGCCTCAAACGCACAGAGATCCACCTGCCTCTCCCTGCGCCCACCCCCGAGTGCCAGGATTAAAGGCATGCACCACCACTGCCTGGCTCCAAGGAAACTTTTGAATGAATGCTATGGGATGATGATTTGTGAACGTTTTATAACGCTGAGGCTAATTCTGTTTGGGAGTTTGGAGAGGCTTTAAAGGGTATTAAGTAAGATCATGGGTTAAGATCATTGGAGCGGGTTTGGAGAGATGACTCAGAGGTTAAGAGCTCTGGCAGCTCTTCCATGGACCCTCATCAGTGTCCCAGTACCCTTGTGGCGGCTCACAACCACCTGTAACTCTAGTTCCAGGGGATTTGCCTCCCTCTTGTGGCTTCAAAGGACACTGCACATGTGTGGTGCACTAATATACGTGCAGGCCAAACAACCATACCAAATATATAAATAAATGTATATATTTTTAAATTAGGCAACTACCTTTTAAGCTTGATAT